TATGCCTCTTCCAAATCCATAAATGCCACAAAAACCTCTTTAGCCTTATCTAAATACTGTTCACTTATATGTTTCACTGTAAACACCTGGTCCACACACCCCCTACCTTTCCTAAAGCCTCCTTGTTCATCTGCTCAAAATAGCGGAAATGGTCGATTCTTTAACGATGTTCAAGAGTAAACAAATGATGTCAATGTCTAATACGTGTGCGCCTGCCAGTCCAAATTCCAATACGCAGTCAAGAATGGGTTGACAGTATTTATACAATTATTACACTAATGCAGTAGTCTGCATAACAGTAAATCTTCTATTTTTTGTGTGTATAAAAATTCCAAATGGTAAGCAAGAGTAATATAAGAGGGGCCTGGAGCCATGACTAATGAACAGAAACAATTTTATTTTAGTGCCAGGAATGTCTGCATTGTTTATTCTGGACCCTATTTTGAAATTGGCACCTGTTGAAATTTGTGTGAAATTGGACAAATTGCCAATTTCTGACCATTTTACTGGGTAGTTGAAATAGGCGAATGAGAGGTTTCTTGTGCATGTACTCAGTCGACAGAACAGAAGTAAATAAATAAGTTTATTCAGGTACACACAAATACAGTTACACAGATTATCATACATAGCAGCATATGTATAGAGAACCTAGGATAACCCAAAAAAGTGAAACAAAGTGACTTATTTCCAGTACCAGGCTTGGGCTTGCCATATATGGCTTTTGGTAAATATTTTTTTTTCTCAGTTGTTTGTTGGGCTATCTTATTGAAACCTGGTCAATGTATGATGGAAAGATGCTTCTTAACATACACCAAAAATGAAAGAAAAAAAATAGAGAGACGATAAATAAGGGAGTTCACTTCTCAGCCATTAGCCGCCTCTTGGCGGTACATTTTCATATGGTTTTTATGGTTGTATTCTCGTTTTTTTGGTCTCATTTGATAGAGTGGAAGATATATTACAGAAATAGATATGATTTTGATTGGTTTCATGACGAAAAGTACCTCGAAATTGAGCTCAAAGTAGTGAAAATGTTCGATTTTTGCCAATGTTCAATGAACTTGTGTGAGTTAAGTTGGTTAATTTTATCAAGTGTATTCCAACCTAACCACTCTCTAATCCCACAAACTCAGTAATCCAGCACACTACAGGTCCCAATGATGCTGGATTTGTGATGATGGACCTGTATATGTAAAAAAAAAAAATGGTGGGAGTTGAAAGACAGCTCTAGGACTTTCATATTGCAATCAACAAACCATCAGGAGTTTGCAGTGTTGCAGGAAAGATGATAAAATACTGTACAAGCAAACACGTTCAAAGTAAGCATTTCAGCATAGATATACTGTAGGCAAGAGGTACGATAAATAGAAACAAAAATGACCAGATACTTTAATTTTAAAGAATGATTATGTGGACTGCTGATCAACTAGGATGATGGATAAGTGGGCCAGTGTCCCAGCAACAGCCTGGTTGAACAGTTTGAACAGTCCTCAGGTTGGGCTACGAGTTGTTAGCCCCTTAACTATCCAAACATAGATTAACGTTTTATTTTTCCTGCCTCCAAATTTCGAACGATTGGCCTGAGATGCCTGGTCAGTATAGAATGGGTTTTAATACTTGATGTGTGCAGTATTAAAAATATCTGGGACCACTTAGTACCTTGTGGGAGCACCAGTTCAATTAAGCGCCAGTTAGAGCAAAGAGCGTGGCAACACCGGGGATTCACTGATGTCATGTCATATTAACACTCCCCTTTTAAGAGTAGAGTGATGTTGATTTCAAGTTTAGTGGCTTTGAGATGGATGTGGTCACAAATAGTCAAGGAAATATAAAAAAAAAAACTTGATAATAACCCATGTGCAACATCTTTTCAATTTTGATACCACTGGTAGTGTCATCCTGCCAGAATGTCCTAAGTAAGGAGAAACAATTATGGAACATGTATAATACATGTTTGGCAGGCCGGGTGGCTGGCTGGCTGGAGGCTGGGTGGCTGACTGACTTTGGCTGTCTCTATCTCCATCTATATCTATCTCTGCCTGTCTCTATCTATCTCCGTCTCCATCTATCTCTGTCGGTCTCTATCTCAAAGATACACACAGATAATCACACATAGTGTAAATTACCTAGGATAACCCAAAAAATCCAGACACAGTGTTATACAATGCTTGTAGATATAAGGCATAATAAGCATGACTGGCAAGTAATAGGCATTTTCACTTGTTCAGGAATCAGAGGTGACGATTCTGCATTGTGTAATACCTGTTGGTTCTGAGACAGAAAGAGACAAGCAGAGAGACAGGAAGACAGACACACAGGAAAACAGAAAGACAGATAGACATGTTTATATGTAAGAGTGAAAACAAACAAAGCCAAGGCAGTGCGCAATCATCAAGTGTCACTCCACTGCTGCACTGTCAGCGTGGAATGACACTCGTCTTACACCATGCTTCAAGAAGTTTCATGTATATTCCAGCATGTCTAAAACATTGCTGGGACCTATAAATACATGTACTTTGTATATATTTCTAGACAATAGTATGTGACCAAGGCAGGTGAAAATGTTCACCTGTCAATGTGTCTGTGACTATTTGAGTACTACAGTGGACCCCCAACTTACGATCAGCTCCCAACTCGAACAATTATGTAAGTGTATTTTTTTAAGTGCTTTTGTAAGTGTATTTTTGGGGGTCTGAAACGGACTAATCTAATTTACAATATTCCTTATGGGAGCAAATTTGTTCGGTAATGGCACCCGAACAGCCTTCTGGAATGAATTAATATCATAAGTCGGGGGTCCACTGTATTTCAGTACCTAATATGTATTAGTGTCAGAACAAACATTGGCTATGAAATCACAAGCACTACTACAAATTGTAATTATTTTTTTTTTTTATTATCACACTGGCCGATTCCCACCAAGGCAGGGTGGCCCGAAAAAGAAAAACTTTCACCATCATTCACTCCATCACTGTCTTGCCAGAAGGGTGCTTTACACTACAGTTTTTAAACTGCAACATTAACACCCCTCCTTCAGAGTGCAGGCACTGTACTTCCCATCTCCAGGACTCAAGTCCGGCCTGCCGGTTTCCCTGAATCCCTTCATAAATGTTACTTTGCTCACACTCCAACAGCACGTCAAGTATTAAAAACCATTTGTCTCCATTCACTCCTATCAAACACGCTCACGTATGCCTGCTGGAAGTCCAAGCCCCTCGCACACAAAACCTCCTTTACCCCCTCTCTCCAACCTTTCCTAGGCCGACCCTTACCCCGCCTTCCTTCCACTACAGACTGATACACTCTTGAAGTCATTCTGTTTTGCTCCATTCTCTCTACATGTCCAAACCACCTCAACAACCCTTCCTCAGCCCTCTGGACAACAGTTTTGGTAATCCCGCACCTCCTCCTAACTTCCAAACTACGAATTCTCTGCATTATATTCACACCACACATTGCCCTCAGACATGACATCTCCACTGCCTCCAGCCTTCTCCTCGCTGCAACATTCATCACCCATGCTTCACACCCATATAAGAGCGTTGGTAAAACTATCCTCTCATACATTCCCCTCTTTGCCTCCAAGGACAAAGTTCTTTGTCTCCACAGACTCCTAAGTGCACCACTCACTCTTTTCCCCTCATCAATTCTATGATTCACCTCATCTTTCATAGACCCATCCGCTGACACGTCCACTCCCAAATATCTGAATACATTCACCTCCTCCATACTCTCTCCCTCCAATCTGATATTCAATCTTTCATCACCTAATCTTTTTGTTATCCTCATAACCTTACTCTTTCCTGTATTCACCTTTAATTTTCTTCTTTTGCACACCCTACCAAATTCATCCACCAATCTCTGCAACTTCTCTTCAGAATCTCCCAAGAGCACAGTGTCATCAGCAAAGAGCAGCTGTGACAACTCCCACTTTGTGTGTGATTCTTTATCTTTTAACTCCACGCCTCTTGCCAAGACCCTCGCATTTACTTCTCTTACACCCCATCTATAAATATATTAAACAACCACGGTGACATCACACATCCTTGTCTAAGGCCTACTTTTACTGGGAAAAAATTTCCCTCTTTCCTACATACTCTAACTTGAGCCTCACTATCCTCGTAAAAACTCTTCACTGCTTTCAGTAACCTACCTCCTACACCATACACTTGCAACATCTGCCACATTGCCTCCCTATCCACCCTGTCATATGCCTTTTCCAAATCCATAAATGCCACAAAGACCTCTTTAGCCTTATCTAAATACTGTTCACTTATGTGTTTCACTGTAAACACCTGGTCCACACACCCCCTACCTTTCCTAAAGCCTCCTTGTTCATCTGCTATCCTATTCTCCGTCTTACTCTTAATTCTTTCAATAATAACTCTACCATACACTTTACCAGGTATACTCAGCAGACTTATCCCCCTATAATTTTTGCACTCTCTTTTATCCCCTTTGCCTTTATACAAAGGAACTATGCATGCTCTCTGCCAATCCCTAGGTACCTTACCCTCTTCCATACATTTATTAAATAATTGCACCAACCACTCCAAAACTATATCCCCACCTGCTTTTAACCTTTCTATCTTTATCCCATCAATCCCGGCTGCCTTACCCCCATTCATTTTACCTACTGCCTTTACCTACTTACCTTTATCAGAACATAAAAATTATATAAATTAAAAAAAAAAAAAAAAAAAAAAGGTATATCGGCAACACTTCTGCAAGCAGCAGGACTCCATATTGCCATCAGGTGAGCATCCAGTGCCAACTTCGTGATCTTATATCTTGGTAAGTACCGACCCTAATTTTTTTTTTGTCTTATTAAATACAGAAAACTGCCCTCTTTAATTAAAAAAAAGTATAAAAATTTTCAAAATATTCGGAACACTGGGCGTTTGGACAGTTAACAGGTTAAACTCAAAACTAGATGCATGTATATGACAGGGTGGAGGGAGTCAAATGCTATAGTTAAAACATAATATGAATTTACATACCTCGTGTGGAACATATTTCACGAAGTTCATATTTAGCCGTTTCATTTCTCTTGACAACGAAGGAAACCTATATATATTTTTCTTGAAAACCCTCGACTTCCCTTCTTTTTCAGAATTTACGTCTGCAATCTTCTCAGAGTCTATAATTTCAAGATCCGAGCTCTGACAATTCTGTTCAACATTTTCTGCTTCTGTTTGTCGTTTAGATGTCAAATTTATTTTTTTATCGAACACCAAATCTATTTTATCACCATCAACCTTACACTGCTTAATGGCATTATTCAATCCTTCTTTGTTCTCTTTCAAATGTACATTACCTGATTCGTCTGCTAATTTTTCCTTGTATAGCTCAATCATAGCATTCGAGTCTTCAATTTTTTCTTTGTCTTTCTTAACTGTAGATTCTTCATATACATTATCTATTTCTTTTTTTTCATACAACTTATCTATTTCCTTTTTCTCATTGTCAATTTTCTGAACAATATTTTTAACCATTGTCTGACCTTCTGTTACTTCGTCTTTTATCTTATTTTCATCTTCATTTTTTAAGCTCATCTCATATTTTCCTTTGGGTTCAAGTTTGGCATTTTCATCATTATACTCTCCAGCATTTGAGAATTCTTGTAATGGTGCCTCTACTATCATATCTTTATTCATCTTAAGGTCATCTTCTGCTGCACATACTGCCGAGTCTTCATTCTTTAATGTATCCGCTGGAGTTGGGTCCTCTACTTTCACAGCATTTTCTTTATTGTCTTCCTCCATATTTTCCTTGTGATCTTCATTCACAAGCTTCTGGCTTTTTTCATCTCCCTTAGAATCTACATTTTCTTCCAACAGCTTCTTGAGCTTCTCCTCTTCCTTCACATTTTCTTCTAAAGCCTTCTCAATTTTCCTATTTTCTTTGGTTGTATCTTCTTCCACAAGCTTCTGGATTTTTCCATTTCCATCACCAATGTTTTCTGCCAAAGCTTTCTGGATTTTGTAATCTCTCTCATCTACATTTTCTGTTGAAGGCTTATGGATTTTGTCATCTCTCTCACCAACACCTTCTGCTAAATCTTCTATATCTGGATTATTTTTCTCAATTTTATTCTCTCTCTCATCACTCTCTTCATCAGACATTGCTAACTTGGCAGCAATAATATCCAAAATATTTTTCTTTGTAGGCACAACAGTTACTTGTTCTGGCAGTTTCACACACTGTTCTTCTTCACATTTCTCTAAGGTTTCATTCCTTTCAACTATTTCTTGATTATCACTTGTACTCATGTCTACTATTTGTTGACTTTCACATGGCTTATCAATCACTACAGACTTTTCTTCTCTTGAATTTGGATTCTGTAAAGCTGAGAGTGCAAATTTAGCCATATCTTCATTAATCTCAACTGCTTGTACCTTCTTTGCTTGTCTCTGCACGAGCTCACCTTTCACAATGGGTGGAGTTCCAATTGGCAATACAACTCTTGCTCTAACAGAGTCAGAATTTGAGGGATTTATCTTTGTTAGTGAGCCTCCAAGAGTTAGTAGCTTCCCTCTGTCATATATATACACAAGTTCTACAGCTTTTTTGCTATTAGTTCCAAACACAGCAGGTTTTTGGCTCTTCAGAACACTGGTGAGAGGAACAAGCTTTCCTGCTCTCCTCACAAACACATTGGAGCCATCTGCTTTTGTTTCCTTACATAATTCTTTGTTATAGTAATACTTATATTTTTCTTTAGGATATAGTATATCAATAGCATTTACTTCTTCATAGTGCTGTACAGAGTCAGATACGCCATCTCCACCTGATGGATGTAGATTATTTACATCCAGTGATGCAGTAGAATGTTGTGATTCTATTAGGATCGATTCAGGAACTTGTGCTGGAATATCTGGAGATTCATTATCTAGAGGTATGCCATCATCATCAAGTTTTGTAACTCCTTCTTCTGTTGCTCTGAAAGAATAAATATCAATTATTTAATCAGTACCCTTTAATACCTGGCATATACCAAATAATAAATAATATTTTGTACATATATATTCAGATAAGCAATATCTCATGTTCTGTTAATACTATACCAAAAACAACCCTCTTGAGATGTTTACAACAGAAAAGCCTTCAGCAGCTCTCTACAAAATTACTGTCTTTCTGGCTTGCTATATTTCCCCTTGTGGCTTCTTTACCATATACTCCTCTATTTTCTCTTACAGAATAATGGTTGTATATCACCACCACCACTACAATAATTGTTTATCACTGGCACCACCACCAACATAAACGCCACCACCACCACAGCTGCCACCAATGTCGCCAACACCATTACCATCATTGCCAACACTGCCATGGGTGGCAGTGTTGGCAGGTCCCATGGCTCTGTTGATAGCACACTCATCTGACACACTGAGTGTCCGTGGTTCAATCTCCAGCACGGGTGAAAATGCTGGGCATGTTTCCTTCCACTTGCTGGCCCTGTTCACCTAGTACTAGTAAATAGCTACCTGGGTGTTGTTCAACTGTTCTGAGTCTCATCCTGGGGATATTATAGAACCCCAATGGAAATAAGAAACAGGCCTAATTGATGCAATGATTTCATTAGGTTATCTTGGGTGGCTAACCTTCCAGGTTAAAAATCTGAATAAAATCTTACTTTATCTTAGCACCACCACTGCTACCACCAGCTTTTGTAAAAATGGTATAAATTTCTTTTATGGCACCTAACTCTACAGTTCCACACCAAAACCTTTTGGCTTTCTCTGCAATTCATTTTAGTTCCTATTGCTTTGTGCTAAAAATTTACCAATGTAACACATTTATGAAGGGATTCAGGGAAACTGATTTGCTGGACTTAAGTCCTGGAATTGGGAAGTAGGCACCTGAATACTGAATGAGTGGGGATATTTGAACTGTGATGGCTGCACACTTCTGGCATGACAGCAATTCTATTAATGATGGTGAATGCTTCTATTGTTTGAGTCACCCTATCTTAGTGGGAGATGGCCAATGTGGTTAAAAGAATTGGAGATTTAGATCCATCTGTCATATGCCATGTATATTTTATATTCCAGGGATTGGTTAAGGTCGAGTATACTGTTATCCATTCCTTTCTTAAGTTCATTAATAACATTTTCCCATTCAACAATTTTATCAATTAAATGTTTTCTGTCTTGCAATACACTTTTAACTGCAAAGAAACCAATGCTTAAGGGTTAAAAAGAAGGGGGGAAGGGGAACACATAATACTCAATGCACAACAGAAAAAAATGACAAAAACTGTGACTGGAAGAGAAGGCACCTACCTTTATATTCAACTATCACAGTAAACCTTACATATAACACATTAGCCTATAGTGTGAATGTAGGCTCACAACTCACATTAATTTTTTTTTGCCTACCCCTTACAATCGTCACTGAAATTTTGTCCCCTATTTATTTCCATTTTTTTTTTTGTATATAAAGTAATAAATATCATCCATTTATATTTTCTGTTCAGAATTATTTTAATATTTAAAAGAAAATACTTACTTGCACTTTGGGATGGTGTAGCTGATATTAAGATGTGAGTTAAGATTCAAATAATCATCCAAATCATTACTGAAAAAAAGATAGGAAAGGAAAGATTGTCATTCTAATTAACAATAGGAATATACAATACGTACAAAATATTTGATAAACTGTACACCAAATTTTTTTTATAAAATACACTATTAAATTTTAGATAACTGTAATAGTCAAACAAGAGAGGTCAATTATATGTTTGTCACCACATTCACTGACCTTGCAAATGCCCCAGTGTCACTGCTGCAACTTTTATCTCTTGATAACTGTGAACTGCTTTCGCACAAATCTCGTGCTTTGAGTCCACCTTTTCTACTGTTAAATAATTTCTTCCTCTTTTTTTTCTTTTTCTTTAGCCATGGACGGTGACCTTTCTCACCTCTGGCATTCTGCTTGTCTGAATAAGTATTCATCTCTTTTTCTGTAGAGAATGACATAAATGCAAAGCCATCCACTATGTCCACCTGTTCTCCCAGTGGCCCCACAGAACTCTGTACATGGATCATTTCATCTAGTGCTACAGAATAAGCTGGTACATGGTGGACTCTAGTATCAGAATCTGGAAAGCCAAGAAATGGGCCTTCAGCAATAAATGAAGTTTTACTAGCTGTGTTGGCCTTACCCTGTTTCCTGTTTTCTGGCACAACTGATGCATCACTGCTTGGTAAATTACTGGTTTGTTCACCTTTATCTGTTTCTAAAGCACTAAAAGAATCATCTGAAGCATTATTTTTATTGGCATTGTTTTCTTTTGTAGTATCTACACCCGGTTCTAAAAATACCTTGGATGGGGATACATTCATCTTATCAACAGCAATTGGTGAAGATGATGCTGTGTCAGATGTTGCAGATTGTCTCTTAATTCCTTTAGAAATTGTCTCTACCTCTTGATTTGTTTTAGAAGCTTCTATTGTACTTCCTCCAGTATTAGGATCCTTGCTGTCAGTATTAACACCCTTGGTAACTTTTATTTGCTTCATAATTTTATGATGATTTGTACTACTTGAATTTCTCACTTCATTTTTCGTATCATCTTCACCTTCTCCATCAGAACTTGACACTGTATTATCGGTATCAGGTTGGACTGGTTTTTCATGATTGAAAATCTGGCTCATCTGTCGTAAAATGTTGATCTTGTCATTGTGTAACATGATATCTAATGAGCGTTTGGCTAGACTAGCACTACTGTACACAGGTCGAGGAGTTAAAGATTTCTCATAAGAGCCAGGTGACCTTTTATGAGTGTTCTGTGAACCTTTATGTTTTTCCATGCCTCCTGAAGAGTACGAATGATCTAGTGCAACCCTCCACTCAGGAGACAATACATCCTTCTTAAGTATGGAGAGAGGTTCTGGCACTTTTGCACTTTCGTCTTCACTACTACTGCCAAGCTCTTCATTAGCTCGCAGGTCCAATTCTGATGAAAGTTCACCTACATTTAGCATAGAGGTATGTATACTTGAATCTCCGGTCTCCCCAACAACAACTTCTTCTGTTTCAATATCTGTATAATCATACAGAGGCCCTTTTTGTCCAGCTAAACCCATCTGATGATTGGTAGAAACTTGTGAAGCATGTGACTTATCTTCTAAAATATTTGAAACTATTTTTGTTGTACTATTAAGAATTCCTCCTTTTATAATAAGAGAGTCTTTACCAAACCCTACAGCATTCTTCAGGAGTTCATCAGTTGTAATACTTTTTAAATTAGGTATTTTAAAATTCAATTTTCTTGGTGACAGACTACTACCTCCAGTGTTAACTGTTGCAACCTTAAATGAAATCAAGTCTGAAACACTTACAACAAGTGGAGATTTCTGTGAACTATGAGCTTCTGAAGGTTTTGTAGCACCTTGTTTTAATGGTGATGACGAGAAAACAGTCTGTGTCCCTGAAGTACTACTTAGTACAGACCTTGAAGTTGGAATGCTAAATGCCTCTTCCTTGTTCTGAGGAACATTTCTTGTATTTAAGCTTTTTGTAGGAACATTTACATCACAAGCTGTATGGCCAACTTCTCTTGTTTGATCTGTTTTATCCATACTACTTTCTACAGGCTTAGATAACTTCTGTGTATCATTAAAATCAATGCTAAATATATTCCCCTTTTTGTCACTAGTAGCTGTACTGACATTAGAATTACTTTGCTTCCGTTCATTATCATTCCCTGCAGCTGTGTTTTCAACTACTTTATGTGCTTCTTTGGAAAGCTTAAGGTCTTCTTGCATATTTTTAATGAAGGAAGTTCTATCTTCTGGGGATACATAGGCCTTTGGAAGTCTCTTAATACTAAATTGTGATTTAGGGCTAACAGCTATCTTTAAAACTGCTTTACCTGTTTTTCCTGGAGACATGACATTCTTTTTGCTTCTTGGCATTGCTTTCATTGTTTTACTCTCTCTGTCCGAATTTGACATGATTACAACAGGAATTCTTTCATCAGCTTTGTTCTCAGACATCTGATGCAATATTGTTTTCAAATTTAAATAATCAGTTTTAAATACCTGTGTGTTTTTTGAAGACTCATGAACTTTATTTTTAGAATTATCAAATGGTTTTGCTGAAGATAATTTCTTCTTTCCTTGATATCTTTTACCCAAGTTGCTTTCCGATTCATCATCAGTACTAACTGATGTTCCTGATACTCTTAACTTGTTTTCACTCTGCTTTGCACTCTTAGTAATGATCTTCTTTATTTTTATTTCAACATTACTTTCAGAAATTTCCTGTCTACTTGTAGAGGACAGTTTGACTGAGTCTTTCAAAGGGTAATCTTGTGCAAGTCTTTTCAGTGATTCAGGTGTATCCATTATTTTATTTTTTTTATCTTTTCGCCCATCTTTCTTCTGCACCTCTTTACCATCTTTCTTACTCTTATCCTGCACTCTGTATTTTATTTTTGTTTGAGCCAAAGCTTTAGGATCCTCTGGAACCCGTGTTCGTCTTCTGGTTGCAATACTTTCTGGATCGAGTGTTGGTGGCTCAGTCCAGTTCTGTGCTCTTCCTCGACCTTCCTTCAGGAAAAGAATCAAATCAGGAGGAGAGTCACTTTTGGATTCTGATTTCTCGGGTTTCAGCAAAGCTCTTTTATTTGAAATATTAAGAACGGTATTTCTATTTGTTTCTCTACATTTCTTTATATCTTTTGCATCAAACCCACAAAACCCTTCCATCATATCTATGCTTATTGACTCAGAGCCTATTACATCTTCCTTATCTCTCTGTGTTACAATATTTTGATTGGTCACTTTATCTTCATCACAAGATAAAGTTTTTGTGGATTCAAGAGGTATGACTGAATTCTCACATTCATCCATCTTTTCTTTACTTTCGAGTTTCTGGGGCATGACTGAAGCCTCCCCAGCATCCACCTTTCCTTTAATGTCAAATTCATGAGGTATGTCTGAAGTCTCATCAGCATCCATTTTTTCTTTTTGGCTGAACATGTCTGCAACTGTCTCTGATTTATCTAATCCTTCATTCTTTAATGAATCATCAAGATCCTGCCTGGAGATGGATAAAATATCTGCATCTAACTTCCTTTCTGCTTTCGGAGATTTTCCTGGCGAGACAAAACCTTTCATTAAATTTTCCATCATTGCAACATCTTATAAAAGCTAAATTTTTTGTAGCTAATATATTATCCTTTCCAGATAAGATTTTATGTACCAATGAAGACTGGTACTTGAAGTGGTTTTAGTCTGACTGGGATTTTGGTGTCAAACAAGTAGGCAAAATTTCTTCTCATGAATCGTAGAATGATTTTCTGTCCTCAATATTTTTTCCACTTCTTACTGGTGTTCTTTTCTAACTTCCTTGGCTGCTGCTAAGCCTGCCCATGTTACTCATGATAACCGTATGCTGTGCCTGTTGAAGTAAAGCCTCATAATTAATGAGCTCTTATAGGACAATGCGTAGAGAAATTATATAAAGAAATTAAATTGAGAAATAGGGAACAAATTTTTTTGTACCTAGCTGTCCATCTTCCACTAAGGTAGGGTGATCTAAAAAAGGAAACACAATTATCATCATTCATTAATTGACTGTCTTACTAGAAGTGTGCCGACGTCAAAATTCAGATTACGCTTTGACTGCAACATTCCTATCCCTCCTTCAGAGTGAATGCATTACCCTTACCACCTCCAGGACTCAAGTCTGGCTAACTGGTTTCCCTGAATCCCTTCATAAATGTTATCTTTCTCATACTCCAATAGCACATCCATTAAAAAAACACTTGTTTAGAGTGACTCCTAATATGCTCAAATAAGTTTGCTGAATGCTCAAGCCCCTAAAACTCAAAGCTTCCCTTGCCCCCTTTCTCCAACCAATCCTCAGACAACCCCTACCCTTCCTAATTTCAGCCCATATTTATACACCCTTTGTCATCCTATTCCTCGCTAGCACCTCTTTATAAATGCCCAAATCACCTTACCAACCCTTCTTCAGACCTACACCCCAAACTCTCTCAAACTTGACATTTTCATAGCCTCTAACCACCTCCTCACCAATGTTCAAAGCCCATGCATCACACCCATACAAATGTGTTGGTACCACTATACTCTGGTATTTTTTTTTTTTTTTTTTTTTTTTGCCTCCACAGATAAACCTCTCTCTATCCACAGCTGACTCAATGCACCCTGTACCGTTTTCCCCTTCATCTATCCTATGGATCATTTCATGTTTTGTGGACCCTTCTGCTGACATGTCCACTCCAAATATCTAAATACTGCCTCCCTCTAATCTGATAATTCAGTCTATAATTACCTTGACTTTTTTAGTTACTCTCATTACCTTTCCCCTTTTCTATAAAGATTTTATTTCTTTGCAGAGGTTACAATGTGTATTTACAATTTTGATTTGTTAAGTACAAAGAAAGCCATTATCATGCCAGGGCATTTCGGGCAGGGGTAACTGGCAGTAAGAGGGAAAAAGATGATTATTAGGTTATGAAGTGTTGCGGGGCAGTGGATTGTGCAGGGGTAGAGGGTAGCTAGAGATTAAGGTGGAAAGGGCTGAGAAGAGTGCCAGAGACATCATCATCAGAGTTTGTGTAGTAAATCAGTTGCTGTCAAAAAGGCAATGAGAGAGTCTGGATTAAAGGAGGGTCCGTCACCAAGAAGGGAAGGTAAGGAAAGGGCAGCAGAGTGGAGATGACGTTAAAGGTAAATTCTGCGTGCTCATTGATAGAGTGGGCTGTCCAACAGAAAGTGGCTAACGGATACTGGAACACGACAATTCTCACAGAGAGGAACAGGATGCCTCTCCATGAGATACCCGTGAGTAAGACGAGTGTGGCTGATGCAAAGACGGGAGAGAGTAGTCTCCCAACCTCGACACCGATGACAAGAAGACAGCCAGAAACCTATATTCGGCTTAACAGAATGAACTTTGTTATGGAGCAGATCAGACCAACATTGTTGCCAATTGGGTGCGAAGATGGGTAGCAATTACAGCAAAATAGTCCGTGAATGGAACACCTCTAGATGAAATTGGGAGGTCATGTACTGATGACCGTGCAGCAGTGTCTGTCTGTTCACTGCCCTGTACGTCAACATGACCAGGGACCCAGCAAAAATCAATATCTCTGTGTTTGCTAGAGATACGGTGTAACCAAAGTTGGGTATGAAGAACTAAGGGGTGAGGTGTATCAAATTTCCATATAGCTTGTAAAGCACTAAGAGAGTCTGAAACGACCACAAATGGTGACACAGGCATAGATGCAATACAGATAAGTGCTACAAGAATGGCCTACAATTCAGCCGTAAAAATGCTAGCTGAGGGTAATAAATGCTCTTGCACCACACTGTCCGGAAACACTGCTGCGAATCCGACGCCATCAGAAGACTTAGAACCATCGGTGTATACACTGTGATAGCATAAGAATGAGAGCAGAAGTGTTCAAGAAAAAGAGAGCGGGAAGCCACCACAGGTAGTTGGGCTTTTGCGCATGGGAGTGGGAAAGAACAGACACGAACAGCCGGAGCTTCCCAAGGGGGCAGGGAAGTGAGAGGCTACATGAACATAGAGAGGTGGTATTTAAGAGAAGACGAGCAAATGTAGGCAGAGAGAAAAGGGGTGGAGTAAACAGGTGACGAACAAATAAAGAACGTTTACTAACATCAGTGACTATCCTGTATACGGAAGGATTGTAGAGGTCATGAGATCGAACATAATAGTGAAGGCAATGAGCATCACGGCAATTAGACAAGGATGGATAATTCGCCTCTGTATAGAGGCTCTCAACAGGGGATGAATGAAAGGCACCAAGGCACAGGCGGAGACCTTAGTGATGATTAGGATCTAACTTCCACAGAGTTGCGGGAGAAGGCGCAGAATAGATCTGGTCACCATAATCTAGCTTGGACAAGACTAGGGTGGAATGCAAACGGAGAAGAGTGTGATGATCTGCTCCCCATGAACGATGTGCAAGAACCTTAAGGAGGTTTAGCCAACCATGACAAGTTGTCTTTAACAAAGAAATGTGAGGTTTCTATGTCAGCCGGTGGTCAAAGAGCAGGTCCAGAAACCTGACAGTATCACATGTTGGAATACGTGAATCGTGTAAGTACAAGGGAGTATCCGGTATAAGCAGGCGTCTAGTGAAGTTAATGAATCGGGTTTTCGTCCTGGAAAATTTAAAAACATGAGAAGTGGTCCAATGGGAGACTCGGTTTATCACTACCTGAAGGGAGGTCGCTACCAGTCGACAGTCAGTGCCTGAATAAGCTATAGCGAAGTCATCAACATAAAGTGATGACCAAATATGCGAAGGAAGAATGGAAGGTAGGTCATTTATAGCTAAGAGAAAAAGAGTAGTACTGAGGCCACAACCCTCTGGGACTCCTTCGGCTTGTACAAAGTCTGAGGAAAGCGAGGCGCCAATACGGACCCAAAAATGTCTACCGGACAAGAAAGCAGCAATGAAGTTTGGTAGATTACCGCAGAGGCCTAAGGAGTGGGCCTGGGCTAGAATGTTATACCTCCAAGTGGTGTCATATGCCTTCTCAAGATCGAAAAAGACCACTAGGATAGAGTGGCTGTTAACAAAGGCATTTCAAGTATATGTATCGAAGTGGAGCAGGGAGTCTAAAGTAGTGGCCTGTGTGAAAGCCATACTGGAGAGAGGAAAGGCTATTGTGTGTCTCTAAGAACCACATCAGACGTCTATTCACCAATCATTCCACCACCTTGCAGACCACACTGGTCAGGGCAATGGGACGATAGTGAGAGGTGTCAAGCCCTGAGGCACCAGGTTTGCGAAATGGTAGTGCAATAGCTGATTTCCAGTGTTGTGGGAGAACCCATCGCTCCCAAATTAGATTGAAAAGACATAAAAGAACAGGAAGGGCTGTAGAATGGAGATAGTGTAGCATACTGATGTGGATATCGTCAGGTCCTGGTGCCAATGGCCGGCACATGGAAAGCATGGACTCCAACTCTAGAAGAGTAAAAGATACGTTACATGGCTCCAGTCCACTGGAGGAGAAATCTAAGGGCAATTGCTCTCTGGTAGGTTTAGACGCAAGAAATGAGGGACAGAGGTGAAGCCCTCAGGAGATATGGACAAGATAGTTCCCAATTTCTGTGGCAACTTCTAAAAGTTCTGAGACATCAACTCCAGCAACCTGCAAAACAGGAGCTGGGTCCGGAGCGTACTTATCACACAATTTCTGCACCTTTTTCCAAATAGTGCACATAGGGGAAGACGAGGTAGTGGAAGACACACAGTCTCGCCAACAAGCGCATTTAGTGTTGCAAATGACACGACGAGCAGCTGCCCTTGCCTGCTTAAAATCCAACAGACGCTCTGCGGTACGGTAATATCGATAACGGTCCCACGCAGCACGTTTTAAACACACTGCGCAGGCGCACGTAGCAGACCACCAAGGTACGCATGTCTGAGAATGCCTACCCGAGGTTTGGGGGATATAACGAGTCGCCGCAGTCAAGACTAAGGTCGAAAATTAGTGTGCCAGTTCGTCAATAGATGGCAAAATGGGGTCCTCACAACAGGTGGTAAGACGGGAGTATAATTCCCAATCTGCTCGAGCAAACTGCCAACGAAGGTTACGAAACGGTCAGGTATATGTAGCAGAAGTAAGAAGGATAGGAAAGTGATCACTAACATGTAAATCTGGAAGAACACACCACATGAAATCAAGTGCAATGAGTGAGGAACAGATGGAAAGATCAATGCAGGAGAGAGACTGAGTGCGAGAGTCAAATGGGTAGGAGCACCTGTATTTAAAATATGAAGAGAGTGAGAAGTGAAAAGAGTCTCCAACTGATCACCACGAGAGTCGCAGTGGGACCCTCCCCACAGGTGATGGTGAGCGTTAAAGTCACCCAACAGCAAGATGGGCGGTGGTAGAGAAGAAATTAAAAACGCAATATCAGAGATACAGAATGCACGGGAGGGAGAAAGATAGAGCAAACTGTAAGCCGTCTGTGTAAATAAATCCAAACTGCAGTATAATGCAGCGGGGAATGAATAAAAACTTGTTGATATGGTATATCAACGCGCACAAGAAGCGCAATTTCATTAAAAGATTTGTCAGGTAAAGGATCTGAAGAATATAATAGCATGTAGCCCAAAACGGGGCGAATGACAGCAGAACGAATCTTGGGTTCTTGGAACCCAACACATACTGGGGACAACTGGGAGAGCAACACTTGGAGTTCTCCCCAATTGCCCCGAAGGCCACGACTATTCCATTGTAAAAAAGACATTATGTACAGAAATAAAACTGGCAACAATAAGAAATGATAAAACCTATGGGCTATTAGGATCTGTAAAGTCAACGTGTGGGGGTAACGGTAAGCGTGTAAGGAAGAATGTGAATGTTGCGGAGGAATAGATTGTTGCG